TGCCATATCACGTTCTTTGGTGGTTAACATATCAAGCTCCCATCCTGCACTGTCACGGTTCGACTCCCGCTGGGGTTGTTGATAAGACCGATGCGAGGTCAAAGCTGCAGTCCACTTCTGTCTGGAAGAGAACAACTTTTAGGAAAGTGAGGATATGTGAAATTCAGTGGAAACGTCAGCTCTACTCATACCATTGTGGGGAAATCCAACAACCAGTCCTTGATCACCTTAAACGAAATTGTGTGAATACATCTCATATTACTGGTAGTCTCGAAACTCTACTTACAAACGAATAATAAAGGAGCTTCCAAAACACACAAATGACGCAACTCTATGACTCGGGATGGCTTTCATGAATCCTCAGACAAAGTTACATGTGCCCATGTCTCTCAGGCGCCTCATCCTGGTCTGGTCTTTCGGCAAATGGCCTCAATTCTGCCTCATTTGAGCCGCCCCTCCTTCACCAAGTCCCAGAATCCACGATTGGACGCCAATCGGCACAAAGCACGACCCAGCGGCCAAATCCCAATCCTGTCCTGAAGTTGGACCAGCACAAGCCATAAAGAGCCAAACTAAAACTTACTCGATTTCGGTGCTCCAGCTTTGCGCCTTTCTCGATGAGAATCATCACCGTCTCCTGCAGCCCAGCCACTGCCGCCATATGCAGAGCTGTGTTGCCCATCTGAAACGTGCGATGGAAGAGAAGCGATGACAAGTCATCAGTGATCAGTAAGTTGGGAACTCGAGATAAATGTATGCGGTGATAAAGAGGTTTTGATAAAGAGACTAAAGAGAAGCGGGGTTTCGAAGAATCCCCTACGAGACTGACACTGGCGTAGCTTTCGTTCCTTTTTACAAGGTGGGTCAAAGGGGTTCGTAGGTTGGTCGCACCCGATACCGCAGGAGGGTTGCTTTGGCCAAATGTCGGCTGAACTGAGAGAAGATAATCCGGGCTCACCGTCCTACGAGCCCGACGACTCCAAGCTGAGCTCCGGGCCATCATGTGGCCGACAGTGTCAAAGCAAAAAAGGATTATTCACGAAAAAAGCGCCACTCGTGGAGAAAAGATCAACACGGAGCCATTGGGGAGGGTGAGCGGTATCGGGTGGGGCCAATCTACCAATCCCCTCGACCCACCTTCTGAAAGATCGCCACTATCGAAGGGGCTGATGGTTGAATTTTCCCACAATCGTGTGAGTAGACCGTATGCCTCCAGGGAAGTTCACATAAACTTGCCTTCCCAAAAGGTATTCTCATCCCGACTGAAGTGGACGTCAACCGCTACGAAGAAAAGTGGGGTTTCGAGGAATCTCTCGTTTCATAATTGTTGAGCTTACTTCCGTTTAGAGTGGAAGTGTTGGGTGAAAAGATTGGAAGGTCGGTTCCACCAGAAGACGACGGCCGATTCCGCTTTACCAGCTGTCGACTGGCTTTACTCTAAGATTCATGTTGACACTGTTTCCGAGGTTGATCTGCTTCGATTCCGGTGAAAAGGTGCTAAGCTTTCGTCCGTCATGTAACATCGTCACAACAGAATTCAAGCTTAAGAGTCAAGAAAACTCACTCACGAATCCCTGAAAAGTGGTATATCTACTCTACGTCTGGCCTCTTTGATCAAGTATAAAGTGATTTGATTAGTTACGGTCATATGTCAACTTCGATGCATGTGAGTGTGT